GCATATTTTGGTCCCCAGATGAGTCATCACCGATATCATACACCACATCCCAACTAGTATCAGAATCCGACACCGCACGTAATCAGAACCCCGAGACACATGTCAAGCCAGATTTCATACTGAGACACTATGCGATACGATTATCCCGAGGACTCAAGACGGTGCCATCACGTCGCTCAAGCATCCCCCAAGACGCCAGCTAGTCAGAAAAGTCATCCCATCCTATAAAGGTTAGCGGCCACATCGAACCGAGGCACAACCAATCCTCGTACAATAGTATATAAACCCCTGGTTGACGCCCGATCAGGGGAGAAAAAAGAACTCGATATAAAAATACTCTATTGACTTGCTCGTCGAAGGGGCCAAAGTTGGGAAACACCCAACGAAGGCCATTTTGTAGGAAGGCGGATACCCCCGAGCGGCGAGCGTCTCGACCCAAGAAATACCTTCCATCGCACAAGGGAGAGCAGTGAGTCGACCCGGATCCCGACTAACGCCGACCAACATTCTTTCCCGAGGGTGCGGCCACCTCATCATCCTACTCACTCCGCAAGAAACTCTCGACGTCGACCCGCCGACATCAACCATGATATTTTTGTTCACTAACACACCCTGTACAAGAATAATGCATATTTAGCTCTGTTCATAGGTTGGTAAGGATGAGTATAGATCAAGAAGTTCTATAATAGAAGCGTGAGATTTCATATTGGTTCTAAAAGCAATTAGGATATTATTGAAAAAAAAAAATCAGGTGTGACACCGTAGACCATCTAAAACTGAAAGGTGTGATAAGCTTCTGCTGAATAAAATATTTTAAAAGATTAAAGAAAAGTTATTGAACCATGCCAAATAAGTAGGGAGAGATAGGATCACGATGCCCCTATCACATTTTCCTTACATGTGAATCTAGAGGAGATCATACAACACATAATCTAATCCACAAACAAGCATGAAAAATATATTTTTATAAGAACTTCCTTAATGGCCGATCAAATAACATAATCGTAGGCCTTAGATATATCAAGTTTTGAAAGGATTTACAGATTCTTGTCCTCACTCTTGGTCATACTGTGAGTAAGCTCACTAGAAATGATAATATTATCATGTATGCTACGGTCGAGAACAAATGCTGATTGATTTTAATATATTAGTGAATTAAGAAAAGGTTTCATTCTATTGGCCAATACTTTCACTAAAATCTTATAAAGGATATTATACAAAACTATAGATCTATAGTTCTAAATCTTAAAATAGTTGACCCTCTTGTCAAGAGCTGGTTTTTCTTAAGGCTAGTATAGTGGTGAGCCAAGTTATTCATAATGGCATGACTATCTAAAAGGGTGTGTCTCTCCCTAGTGTGAATCATATAAATAAGATTGATCATTTTCGGATAATTTTATAAAAGTATTTGGATTTTTAAACCACCAAAAATTTGTTATGCAATATTTGTAAGTAGTTGTATTCAACTGTCAATAAAGACTTGTTCACCTCAGCCTTTCCGAGAGTTGGATTTGTTGGGAGTTATTTATAATCATTTTAGGTAGTGATAACGTCATTTAGTTCCACGGAGTATAGGAACCAAGGGTTTATAAGTCTGCAATGTCTCCCTTATCCTTAGATACACTTTTTGGAGCTCATATGTTTCGAAAGGACAAAACCATACAGATACGTCCATCGATCGAATAATTTCTCACGAGCCTACTGACCTAACCGCACCAATGATCGACCGACCAAATTATCTCTTATCAGATAGGTTACCCCCACCCTTTGTTTTTCAATGCAAGAGAGCCTCTCTCAAACAATTTAGCTTTTATAAAATCATAAGCATTTGGTCACAAGTAGTTAAGTCATAGACCTTTTTTTTTTTTTTTTTGGATCAAATCAAAACTCTGTTGATGTTGAGACCGGTGAGGTTGAAATCTAAAACCTTCTAGGCTAGTTAAAATCTTAGTATTGTGCTTAAAATCAATGAGAGGGTTGTGATCTGATTCAATGTTAGGAAGATGAGAGACAAATTAGTGCATGTATAAGCAAAGTCATGGTGAATTAACCAAAGCACAAGTGCATGAAGAACCCACTCGATTGTTACTCCAAGTAAAAGTAAAAGTAAAAGAAAATCCATAAAAACTAAGATCAGATACCTTATTTCTAGTTATAAAATCCCAAAATGTAAAAATTGATTTGCTTAACGTAAAAAGTCGGTAGACAGCCTTTTCATTCATATTGTAAATAATATTATAATCTTTACAGATACATCATGGAATGTCATTAAATTTTAAACTCACAACTTAAGCCCATAAAAAATTACGTAAATGCAATAAATTAGATTGCATAAAGATACTGTGAACACGATGCCTTTGTCGGGGTCCGATGGCTTGTGGGAGTAGGAAAAAAGAGAACCTCATCCGTCGATGAAATAGAGCCATAGCCAAAGACGAGCATCGAGAAAGCGAAGGGCGTTTGGATGTGACTTCAAAGAGGAAGGTGGAGACGACAAAAAGAGACCCATTTCCCCATTCTTATTATGGGTTTTATCGTTGAGTATGAAAATATACTACTCTATTAGGATTTTTTTTTCTGGCTAAAATCTAAAATGTTAGATCTCCATAATCTTTTTTTATAACCTAGAAATATGTTTCTTAACACATGACAACAAAAATATATTGATATCTTGGTCGGATAGTTAGTGTGATGCTCCTACTTGATTTTGTTCTTATTGTAAGATTGATTTAATTGGTAAAAATTTTAATTATTTATTAAAAAAATTGGTTAATATATATTTGAATTGTTTTTTATAATATTTCCAATTAAATTGATAAAAAAAATGGGGTTTCCAATTGTGAGTAATGCAATGTAAAAGATCTTTGATCAGTGCATCATCGCATGTGATGTAGCGAGAAGCTCAACTTCTGTTATGTCCTTTGACTTAAAACCCTCAAGTAAGCTTGGACTTTTTGGTTGAAGTGGCCATTGAACGTTGGGTAAGAAAAACCTTGAATTTTGTCTTTGTTAATTAGAGAAAGGACATGTCGAATGTGATTTCCTTGTACTAATTGTCAATCTAATCGATTCAAAAACCAATCGAATCCAAGTCGTATGAGTTAGATCACGATCCAAATTCTTTAAACCTAATCAAGGATGAGAGATTTATGTGAGTGATGTAGGAATTACATTAGTTAGACTAAGAAATCCACTACATGGGGGATGATGGTAGGGTACAACCTCCATGAATAGTGCCAAAGATTTCAGCGTGAGATGGGGATGGCATTCGTATCCCCGTTCACGGGACAATGTGGGCAGGTGAGAGCCTTTTGTTCTGCCTCCTCATCTCCTTCCTCACCAATCCTTCCACCCACAAAGCAACAACAACCTCCACTTTGTGAAATATGGAGGTGTGTGTTTCTGCAGGGTGTGTTTGAGAAAGAGAGAGAGAGAGAGAGAGAGAGAGAGAGAGAGAGAAACCAGCAACAAAGGAAGGCCTGCATTGTACTGTAGAGAGCCTTCTACAGTGCTGATCATATATAACCCGTTGAAAGAAATGGATGCAGGGGGGGAAGGGGGACGGGAAGGTGATGACAAACCCAAGAAAGGAAAGATTAGGACATTTGACTGTAGACTGTGCTGCTCTTGTTAGCCATGAGGAAGTCAAGGAAAGGAACCCTACAGATGTCGGGAGTGGCGTATCACAAACAGCAGCCGACTTGGTTTCCTCTTCCATTGGCCACACAAGCATACAAAACTCGCCTTCTTATCTGTTGTTGTGACCTCCAACTCAACATTATTAATGTCCCAGATAGATTCCTTTTGGTAGATCTATGATCAAGGACAGTCCACATAGCAATCAAGAACAACATTTGGTGCCACTCCTTTGATTGAGTGGCACTAAATAGATCACTGAAACAAGTATCCAAAACTTGCCTTGGAAGTACTTTCAGCAATTCCGAGCTGTCTGGAGCAGACAACTCCATCCACGAGGACTATGCTCGTATCATTCAGCAGCAGCAGCAAGCATGGCTACTCCTTTTGGGAACAAATGAACAGTTTCATCTTCACCCAATGCGTACAAAGGATTCGGAGTTGGAGATTACGCCACAGAAACCATTGTCTCCTGATCCTGAACCAACACAAATGTACTGTTCTTGGTAGGAAGAAGTGAGACGGTCACATGCCCCGTGCTTCTCACTCTCAGAATGGCGTAATCTCATGATCAGATTGCCACGAAAAGACTCGCACAAAGAAGCATCAAGTCCCCGACAGGGGAAGAAGGCCAGCATCCTCCATCTCTCACACAGTCATAGAAGCAGGTAGGTGGTGGACAATGGAAACCAACCACCATAGCTGGTCTCTTCCTCCTCGTCTCTTCCATGTCAACGTCAAATTCCACAGCGTAATCGTGAGGAACGCGTCACGAAACATGCATGGACCTCATAGAAAACTCGATGCCTTTCCATGCATCGACTAGACTCTACACTTCGTCTTCCTCTCGCATTTCTTCTTTTGATTAGATCACGATGGAGCAACAACTTGTTCCCTACAGAAGACATGATGACCTTTTGCTGTTCTGCGGGTAGATTTTAGAAGCCGAAGGAAGATCCCATGATCATGTGATTATGCATGCATGATTTAGTCCACGACTCCAACCACGTTGGGTCGGTCTTGTGTGTTATCCGAACCGGTCCACCGGGCGGCCGAGCCCAGCGGGCGGAAGTCACAGCGTAAAGGGGCCACGAGCGATACCCGTCAAACACCGCCACGCGTTCGACATTGAGATGCCAAAATGTACAGCATCCACTATGAGACACATCCACGTGTTTAGGACCGATAGGCTCAAATTTCTTCCGGATTCTTATTGTTATATACTAATTAAAAGAGAGAGGAAAAAGTTACTTGAGCCGTTCCGTCGCCGTTAATAGACGGAGATATTTTTCGAGCGTCATTGCCACATACGAGAAAAAAAAAAAAGCTAATAAATACGAACACTGAGGGAGGTTTCGAAAAAACGAAAAGAAAAACAAGCGGAATTTGTTTCCCTCCGCAGCAGCAAAATCGGCCGAGGAATCGGCGTCCGGCGACGGAAACGTCACTAAAGACTCGTGCTCAGATGGCGGGCAGGGGTTCGATCGGGAATAGGTCGCCGATGCCATCGAAAAAATCGTCCACCCCTTGCCACGTCGACGTTGGGCCGAGGTCGACGTCGAGCCCCGAGCCGTTAAGGACGGCGTCGCTCAACTCCTCGGCCAGGAAGCCGATGGGGGCGGAGTCGTCGTCGTCGAACACCCCGAAGCCGAGTAAGTCGTCGAAGAGCACTTCGTCCTTCTCCAAGGGCAGGAACCCGCCGGGCTCCACCGAAGAGCCGGCCGCCACGTCCTTCTCGTCGCCAACTGTACCTGGCTGTTTCGGCTTCTCCGCCTGGTCGCCGGGCTTGGAGGAGGAAGAGCAGGAGAAGCCGTGGAGGACGGATGTCGGGGAGGAGAGGTTGTGCGACTCCTCGGCGGAGTCGTACCCGCCGGAGACGGAGGGGAGGTTGTTCTCCGAGAGGTTCTTCTTCGGCGGTTGTAGTGGCGGAGGGGGGTGGGTGACGGTCGCGGCGTCCGCCGGGGGACGAGCGAAGTTGGTGGTGGCATCGGGTCCTCGGAGCTTAATGGCGGCCGAGTCGTAGACCTTGGCAGCCTCCTCGGCGGTGTTGTACGTACCGAGCCACACCCGGACGCGTCGCCAGGGGTCCCGAATCTCCGCCGCGTACTTCCCCCACGGCCGCCGCCTGACGCCGCGGAACCTCTGGACGCTCCCATCGCCGCTTGTTGCCACAACAGGGCCGGCCTTCCGCTTCTTCCCGGCGCCGCCCCCCTTCGCGGCCTTGCTCTTCCCGGCCTCCCCAACGGCATGGGGTCCGCCGCGTGCAGACCGGGCCTCGAACCGGACCTCCTGGACGTACCGCCGGACGCGGCGGCGGGAGTGGCAGCACCCGCTCTCATCGCCGGAGGAGTCGGTGGCGTCGTAGTCGTCGCAGAAGATGCGCACCGTGCGCGGCAGCGGCGCGGCGACGGGGACGTCACTCGGGCGGCGCTTCGGCTGCTGCGAGAAGGGCTTCGGCGTCACGACGATGTGCTCCGTCCGCTTTATCGGCACCAGAAACGTAGTATCCATCAGATTCATTCCACGACTCTAATCTGCTCGCATTTGCTCTCCTCCTCCCCTGCTTCCAACAACACAAACAAGAGGCCAACCATAAAAATATAATCTTCCCCATCTCAAAAGCTCCAACGAAAAGCCGAACCAAAAGCACAAACGGCAGACCGCAAAAGAACGCATCCCTTCCCATTCACACCCTCACCAATGTATACATACATATATAAGAGCGCAAAAGTCGTCATTTCCTCCGATGAACGAAGCATCCACCAAAACTGTGACCTTCTACGATAAACACACCACCAAATCTTCATGGATTCAGAATCCCAGAAGACTTCAAAAGAGGAAAGAAGAGAGATTCCAAGGAAAAGACAGAGCTCGAGAGGGAGAACAGAGGACGGAGTCAAACTTACCAAGGCGAAACTCCACCAAGCGAGCACAGGGTACTTAAATCCCCGAGGCACAAGAGCTAGGACAGGCTTCTGGTTTTGGGAAACCCCAACCCTCCGTATCACACCGACAGCAGACCACCACCATCAACATCAGCGCGTAAACGAGACAGAAAAGAAGAGAGCAGCAGCACAAGAAGGTAGAAAAGTCAGAAGAAGAGTCGCACCCACGGAGAGAGATAAGCCGAATGGAGATGCATTGGTGGTGCTTTGGACTGTGGGAGGAGGAAGAAGAGCACCGGGACTCGCAGTTTTATAGGATCCTCAACAGCCGAAATCGGAAACACGGCACCCGAGTCGAGACTCCCCTTCTCCTCCTTCTCTCATTTCTAATTTCTTCTCTAAATATCTCCATAATTATTTCTATTAAACCTGAAAATTAAGACCCACAAACCCCCCCAAGCTGTCAGACGAAAACTGGGTCCTGACACGTGGTCCAATAGGAGACCTACTCGGTTGCTGACTCAGACCGTCCCACACGTGGGTTGGGTGACGGTGGGGTAAGTCTAATTACCGTCAAATCCTCCTCGGGTTAAGCGACGACCGGGTGGCGTTTGACCGAGGCCAATCCCAGCGTTAGCTGTATATTACCAGCAATCGAGTTTAAATACCCTCCCAAATTACGTCGGACTTCATGAAGTGCATGCACTGCCTCTCCCTCTTTTTTACCCTTCCTGTTTTGTGGTTTAGTGGCCAGTGATGTTGTCGTCGTCGTCATTTGTGTCGTCCAAATTTACAGCGAGACACACTGAAGACCATCACCAACATGTGAAGCGAAGCCTAAAAATAATTACCACAGCTGTTGTTGGACGAGCAGAGCCACCACATATATTTTGTAACCAAAAAAGCTTACACCGCTCCACGCTGCACTGCGCACTCCACTGCACCACCGCACAGTTTAATGTTTTACTGCAGCGTCGTGTTCCGCACCCGACTTTTTTACCACGCCCAGTGTGTGTCTGCTGGTCCTCGCCCTTCTTTCCCTCCCCTCTCTCTCATCACCGCCTCGCTTCGCCGGGAAAGGGGTAGTTGGGTCACTTCGCCGAGTATTTGTACACGCAATTAAAAGGAGAGGAAGAAAAGGGCGACATCACATGGGAAGCGAGAGAAAAGAAGCTTTTAAGTGGGAGGGGTGCGTGTCACGCGTTGGTGGCTCTCACCGGAAGACGTGCCGGCGGTGATTGGACCGCATGCGGAGGAGCTGCTCCCCTCCGCCTGCTGGGCGTCCGTCCAGGTGACGCCCCCCGAGTGGTCTCGGAAGCGGATCTCCGCCGTCCGATACGAGGTTTCTGCCCCTCGCCTCGGATCACGGCCGTCTGAGCTCTGCTTGGGGCGGACTCGTCGAACGCGAACCCACAACTCCGCCGTGTTTGGATCACATGCAGCAGCGACCTGCACCGCCTTCGTGTCAGCCCTCGTTCATGTCCTGCGATACACGTTAAATGCGTCGCAAGAGAGTAGGAATGGCAGTGCTGCAGTGGTGCGCCGTGGACTTGCTCCTGTTTCGTCCACCACGGGCGTGGACTGGTGTCCCACCCTCATCCTTTGAGTAAGGCGAAAGCAAACATTCCCTCTCTCTCTCTCTCTCTCTCTCGCTCTCTCTTTCTCCATTTCTTTGAGTCTTCTCACTTGAGATCACGTACGCACGCATGCAACACGCCTGAACTGATGAATGAGAGTTAAAAGGACATTAAATCGATCAAAATAAGTGTTCTTAATTGCTTCAGTGTCAACCTTCATTGACGATAACTACGAGTCGCGAACAGGGAGTAGTAGAAAGCTAATGAAATCAAGCTCAAACCAACGTCGCTAAAGTGGTTGTCGAGGGAGGATTTGGCTTCTCGTTCAGTAGAAAGGAGATCCTTCACGTGTTCTGATGGATGTCACCTCAAAGATCTCAAGCACCGGATACGTGTCTAAGTTAACCAATCCAATTCCTTTGCTGTGCAAAACATGCCAAAGACATTACTTATCATTGTCTTCTAATAATCCACCACTCTATCTGGTATCAAGATGATGATGCAATCCTCACCCCAATGTCGTATGGCCCTCACTTTAATGTCACGTTACTATATTATGGACTCCTCGGCATCAATGTTATTCTTTAGCCATCACAACTACAACCATAACCATGCATACATTACTCTATGTACTATAACATGATATTATAACATAATGATCCTAAGATCTCACTATAAGTCTCAATACATTCGACCCTGAAAGACTTGACACTCGATCAAGATCTCACCATCAAAACTAACTTGAATATTGGAGGGACAATGTCGAACATACTCTTAATATAATTTTGTAAAAATTTAATATCTTATGATTAGAGAGGATTTGATAATTCCGAATACAAATCAAAGATGGAATAGAATTTTAGTTGACTCCGAATGAATATCCGACAACCAGATTTTACATAAACACCGCAAAAAAAATCATGCTTCTTAATTTTATAGGTCTTCTCCATTAGTCATCTCTCAAAAGGTCAAGAAATATATATATTATTAAGCCACGTAGCATGAATGAGGCATTATTAGTAGCTTTTGCCGATCAAGTTGGTCAATCACAGCCATTCAATCCGATCTCTACAGCGATAATCTTTTCTCGTCATCAAAATTCTTCCTCTACTTCTTATCTTCTACCTCAGATGACTAAAACAGGTGTCCTACTTTGTGAGAAGGTAGATGACAAAACAACCTAACCCCTACCATAAAATAAGCCACACATTAATTTATACTAGGAGGCAAACGATTCTTTATTAAGAGGATTTGGAATTTATAGCTTCATAACGGATTATGGACTTGCGAAAAATGCTTAGGGATACTCAATAATCAAACAATTAATAAGAAAAAGATCTATATCATCTCGAATCTAGTAAAATATGTAAGGTGTTCACTGAACTTCCGAGTCACAAGGACTAGTAAAACCTTCTCTCGAGATTTCAATTCTCGGGAAGGCAAGATATAGAGTAGATGGATAAATCACACCATAGGAGGAGCAAGGAAAGAGGCCGGTGTAGTAGATAAAGCCAATGTGAGCAATCCAAGGAAGAGAAAGGAAATGGAGGGTGCATAAAATGGAACATGATGGACAGATTCATTTGGGAAAGATCACCAAGTTCGACAAGAAGGGGTAATTATTCATCCTTTATCATTAATATGATTTTTTTTCTTATATATAAGGGGAAAAACAATACTCTGAGCTCCGTGCAAGTCCCAAAGTATCGTCATGAAGAAAAATAAAATATCTATTCTTTTTCCTTAATATGATCATTACATTCATGTATAAGCATAAACATTCAAATAGAATGCCTAAGGACTAGACTTGATGACAGTAAAATTATTCTCTTGTGATTAAGAAATAAACACATGACGAGAAAGAAAACATCGTGTCAATGGTGCAACAACAGCTCCATGATACATCAGTCTCCTTGTCCAGCGTCGATTTGATTATTAGGGTATCCTCGACCATCATGGAAGGTGCACAGAGTTCCTCTCCGACCACGCATTATAAAGACCACCTCGCATACTTAATATTCATTCACATCAGTTCAAACCGATGAACGAGAAAGAGACCCATCACTCCTTATCAATATTTTGATTATCAATAGCCATGGTTTTCTCTAAATTCTCAAATAGAAATTGTCATGCAATGGCGAGTGGGAGTCGCGTCTTCCCGGTTGTAGATTCTGAGAACAAAACAGTCAACTGCCATTAATGCTGATTGATGATCTCAAGAAACGAACGCAGTCATGTTCGTACTCGTCTTTTTGTTATGCGCATAATGATCGATGCGATTAATACTGCCTACAGAATGCATTGCAAGCCATTCAGTACGTAGCCATTTACAACGTTACGTATAATGAATCAAAGTACGATACGCGTGGAAGTCACCGGAAATTAATGGCACCAAGTCGCATGGGTGATGACGAAGTGAGGGAGGGGGGTGGGGGGGGGGGCGATTAATTAGGGCTCACGTGGTAGTCGACACGGATTCGAGTTCCATTGCGTGGCTCGAGCGTGTGATGCCTCGATCGTCGGCCCCACCGCCCGACATGTATTGATGCCGACGCATGTTTGTTTATGTTAGAAAAACAACGGCATACGCTCGTCTCACGTCTTTTAATTTTGGCACACACCTCTGTCTCTCTCTCTCTCGCATTTATGTGTGTCGTGAACGCCAACATATTTTACAGGTGAAACGAAGCCGTCATCCAATTAGATCTGCGCCGTCCGATTTGCTTCGATTCTTCTTCTCTCCATTAATTTCTTTGAATTACATTCTTATTGATACTATTTTATTATATGAGCGAAGTTTTCTTTTCATTAGCCTAATATTGTTCGAATTTATTTCATCATTTTTGGGATTTTAGAATTTCTGATGCGTACCATGCTACGAGATCACCGGTGCAAGTTCTCTCGAGTCTGTAGCGCTAACGAAGCTCGAGAAAAGGGACTCCGGCCTTTCAGTGTTGGACGGACGAGACGACCGAAGCCACCGGAGTCAAAACTAACGGTCCTATTGTGATAGGTCAACCGAGTGTTCTATCGTGACTACTGGGCTTTCTTTAACGAGCAAAGGCAGAAGAACAAGAGAGCCAAGTGAAGGCCACAAATGGACATGTAACGGAGAAGGCGGGCAACTGTCGGCGGCCGACCGCGCCGGTCACGCACCCTCTCTTCTCCCCCGTGATGACCACGTGATGGAATCTCCACGTAAACGATCCCGCGAACGACTCAAGACACGAGAAGATAGAGAAATAAATCTTGAACGAGCTGTAATAACACCCATGCAAAGGCATGCACACGTTCTCTTATTATTATTGTTATTATTATTATTATTATTATTATTTAATTTATTTTCTTACTATTAACATCTGCATGCGGGTATTTATTGTTGCAGCTCCTCTGAACTCCAAGAGAACTGCTCATCAACGTGCTGCACACCACCTCTCCATTCTTTCCCAGGTCAAAGCTTCCCCAAAAGCGAGAAGATGAAAGCAGCATCGCACATCAATGGCCGAATCAGACTCCACTCACTGAGATCATTTGGGTGGGGGAGAGGTGCATGTATGCAACTTTGCTGCTCTTGTCTTCGACTCAGGACAAACACCACAAGTGAACTGATCTCTTTCTTCCACGAAGTGCATGCTGCACCACACCTGGTTTCCAGGGTTTAGGTCGTCCACTCATGTGCTCATACCCTCCCTTTCATGAATTGCAACCCTTGTTTCATATTAAAATGCTTCATTATAGCCAGGCCTTTATATATCATGTATCACACCTAAAGAGACCTCTCCCACTGATTCTAACTTACCTATAGCTTGTGTTGAAAGCTTAGTCTTAATCTACCTGGGGAACAAGATAGTTTCGAGCATGTATAAGACCTTCAAACACACACACGTATATATATATATATAGGATTGTTTTGGTGCATGACATTTGCATCAGTTGTCTGCACTATTGGCTGCTTCAAGTTCTACATGCGTGCAAAGTATACATTAATTGGATGCATAATGAATAGCCCATTTCTCTTGCAGAGTTGTTCTTTCATGAGGAACGAGTAATGTCACATTGCGTTCTATTTGTCTTAGTTTGAAGTCATCTCACTGACCACCAGAATGTTAGATTATGTCTTGTCATCAGTATGTGGAGCTATCGGTGAGTTTGCTCTTAAGGAGATCGTGGCAGTGAATGGTCGAAACAAATGTTTACCTTTGACCATAATATAAGTTCGCAGCAGTGCAATAATTGCACCCGAAACCTATCCCCAAGGCGTTGAAACACCGAAGGTTAAGCTTCAATAAATGGCAGGGTCGACATGTGGAGTTCTGCACATGCCTCTCTCTCTCTCTCTCTCTCTCTCTCTCTCTCTCTCTCTCATGCTGTGTATAAACAATAAGTGTAGTCAGGTCTATTGAGGAACGGAAACACCACTCCGAGAGATGGAATGATGAAGCTTCCAAAGGTTAATAGCACCTCTTGCCCTTCACCAAAGAACACAAAGGAGTATCTTATGAGAAAATTTTCCCTCTTCTCAATGATTCCCAGAGTCATGATCCGTTCCTTTGCAGGAACCAGCCACAACGAATGCACAAACTTACATTTCTCGATCAAGATTTCTTTGGGGTAATCTCGAGCTCAAGCCATAACACAATGGCTTGCATCGGTCTGCTTCTTCAACCATTGAAGCCTGAAGACACTGAAGAACATGGGCCAACAAGAGTCAACGAAGAATAAGTTTGCAGCTCAATCTGGCTTAATGGGTTAAGAGACCACACAAGACTAATAAAAATTAAGAACCAAAGCATAGAACATCTGCAGGTGAGCTAAAAGTCAACCCTACAACTCACTGCACCACACAACCTTAATCCTCATGTTTTGATGCTAATGAAACAGGGGAGATCGTAATTAACTAGCATTACACACAGATTGTGGAGCACCACGACACGATTTCGCTCTAAGAAATCAGGGGAATTAGTTAGTCGATCACTAAGCTAAAAGATTAGAGTATTACCGATTACAAGTCAAACTCTTGATAATTCCCTCCTTGTGAGATTGACTTCAGCATAATGTTTTTTACTTCGTCAAAGCTACATAGGTGATTAAATTATTGCATCATGATCTTTCCAACCACATCAGATGGAGCACAAAACAAATCTTTCCTATATATGCATCAATTGATCTATAGTCAAGTGGTCTAACTTCTATATTTAATCATCTTGTCGTGATTGATGATATGATGGTAGGAATCGATGAACAAGTAGTCATAATGTAATCTCCCCTCCTATCTAAAAAGCTTGCGACTAATAAACATCGAAATGTAATGATAACTTGATGAGTCTGAATCATCAATCCGAAGCCACTGGTTCTAAATGACCGAAAGTTCGAATGTCCAATGTTAGGACTCGATGAGCCTAAACCACTGATTCTGATTCGAAATTCTCACTATGACCAATTGAATTCTTCTCCCACACCAGAGAGATCATATCTAAAACCATGGAGCACATATGGAGGAGTTCCCAATGCTTATGTTACGAGGATGATCTGTGCTTCTGCATGTATCAGTAATTAAACACCTTCACATCCTCACTCTCGATAGGCTTGACAACTTCATGCAATCATGTCAACAGTTGCGGCCTTGATTAACCTGGAGAAAGTTCCGATTCAAGTGCCTATAGTGAGGATGAACCAAACCCAGAATGTAGTGATAAACATCAACTCATGGGGCCTTCATTGTTATCCATCACCTACACAGTAGCCATTGCAGATTAAACATCATTTTCCAAAGTGCTGAAACCCTACTACACCCCTTAAACCAGAATTGAAGGAAAGAAAAATGAAAAGAAGCTAAGTAATCTAGACATTGCTCGATCGAATAACATCAGCTGACACCAGTTTTATTTCTTCCTCACGAAAAGAGACTACCACAGAATCCTGTACCAATTCTGAAGTTCACTAAGGAGATACGCCAGAGCCGAGCAGCATTTACTTTAATCATCCTCTCTGATCTATGAACATATTTTATGCCAATCGTGACCGACAGATGGATATTTTGATCATTCAAGGCCATTCAGACTTGATAATAGTTCGAGTTTCTCCAGCAACCAATACAGTGTTTGTACTTCCTGCAACCAAATAGCTAAGGAAACAAACACCCATGCCAAACTACTAATTTGACTCATTCAGGTCACACAGTATTCTGACCTACAACATCTGCGGTGATTTTATCCTAAAACAGGTGAAACATGGTGGACAAGCCCAAAGAATCTGAACAGGATAATGCTACAACAATGAACCACACTAACAAGAAGCATCGTGCGGGAAGCTAAAAAGTACACGACGGGGGTAGCGTAAAGAAACTAAGCTTCACTGGGGAGTTGACATGGCTTGTGTATCCTGTACTGGTGTCGATGTTGATCCCTCTGATCTGCCTTCTGTTGAAGGCAGGTTCCCGCTATCAAACCTCCTCATTCCTTCAATCATTCTCACCACCTCTGGCATCTTAGGCCTCCGGTCTGGCATTCTCACTACACAGCTCATTGCAATTTGAAGCATCTCCACCATCTCCTCTTCGATATTAGGATATCTCATCAGCTCCACGTCAAACACCTCCGCAGTCCACTCTTCGCGGACAACAGAATGAACCCAGCGGACTAGGTGGATGACCTCATCACCACCTCCCACTATCTGAATGGGGGATTTCCCTGTGAGCAGCTCGAGCAGTAGAACACCAAAACTGTAGGCATCAGAAGCTTGTGATGCTTTCCTTGTATCGACCACCTCGGGTGCACGGTAACCTGCTGAGCGAGACACCGGTGGAACCATTGGGTTGATGATGGATGGTAAACCCAGGTCAGAGACACAACCATATTGCTGGTTGTTGAGAAAAACATTGGATGATTTGATGTTCCCATGGACAAGCTTCCCATTGTTCTCGATGTGAATGCGTGCAATTCCTCTTGCAGCTCCAAGCGCTATCTTAAGCCTAGTTTCCCAGTCTAGAGGTGTCCTGTCCTGCCCTCTTTTCCCTGCAATGTAAAATAATGATATTATCGCATAAAAACACCACGATTAGACATCGTTCGTTGTAAAAAACCAACACAAGTGTATATTTTGAAGCTCATTATAATTAAAATATAAAGCTGACTGCAATGAAGAAAAAAAATTTGACATGAGCTCCTTCACAAGTTTTGCATAATGAAGAATAATATTTAAGAGAAACCAAAATTTCAGACTAAAAGCGATGGTTGAAGTCTTGTCGGTTGATGTTTTAAAAGATTCAATGGTCCACTTCTACGATCGCTCCAAATAGAAACCACGTAATGCATACACTAAGTTGGGAATTTGATCCAAATAACAATGGACCTTCATAGGTGAGATAAACTGAAAATAAAAGAAATCAGTTTAGAAACCATCTTAGAAAAGCAGATCATAACATTTTGGACTTTGAAGACCATAACATTATCCTAAGTCATGGAAAAAGCAGCGCACGAAGTGTATGTAGCACCTCCGGAATGCTCACGTCTAGCTTGTCCTCAACAACTAAAGCAGAATACGATTACTATAAAACCCAAAACGATGTAGAAAATGAATAAATTTATAATTAAGTGGATCAAAAAACAACTTAAATTTGATTACAGAACTTAGTGCCCGAGGGCAAGCCTTCACAATGGACTACCTTAAGACGAAAAGGATAAAAGATCAGGTAGTTGACTATTATCTGACTAAACCAAGGAAGACTGACAACCATTCAAGCTAAAAACACTACGTAAACTTAGAAATGATGCAAACTCTGAAGTCTAAGGATCCATAAACTCATAGCAGACAATTCAAAGAAACAGGTATAGCAACTTAGTAATGTATATAAGGTGAAGAGCGATATACCATGTAACAGGGAAGAGAGACTCCCCTGGGTGTAATAGTCATACACCATCAGCTTCTCATCCTTGGAGTAGTAATACGCCCTCAGCTCCGCCACATTCTCGTGCTTGATCCTCCCTACCACCTCCATCTGCTGCTCAAACTCTTTTTTCCCGACACCGGCCTCCTTCAGCCGCTTCACCACCACCGTGGTAGCATCCTCCAACACGGCTTTGTATGCAGTCCCAAATGTTCCCTTCCCCAAGACCTCAGCAGACGCCCTCAGCAAATCCTCCAAGTCGAAATCAAAGGTACAGCCCTCGAAGAACACAAGCCGGTTGTTCATGCCCTGGTTTCTACTGACAGACTTCTCCGGCGACAGGTCCCCCTTTGATGCTTTTCCTGAGACAAAATTCTCTTCTTTCCCCCTTGAGCAGCAAAGATAGAGAAATAACGCAAGCATCACAAACAGCAGAGCACATCCGCCAACTATAATTCCGAGGATTCCTGATTCACTCAACTTCCTCATGGTTATCGAGCTCGAAACCGGTGAAGGAGAAGGAGCAGGCAGTGGCGTCGGTGCCGGCAGTGATGCTGGAGTCAGAGGGTATACTGGCGACAAATCATTGCCCGAAAATGACGAATTTGGAAATCCTTGGATGGATTTGGGAATTGTGCCGTTCAGGTGGTTACCGGAGAGGTTAAGAAATAGAAGGTTTGGGAGATCAAGATCTGGAATTTGGCCAGAGAAGGAGTTGTTAGAGAGGTTCAGAGCAGTGAGATGAGTTAGATTGGAGATGGAAGCCGGGATGCTCCCGTTAAAGTCATTGAAGGAGAGGTCGAGGACGGTGAGGTTCTTCCACCTCGAGAAATCCGACGGCAGGGGACCGGAGAATCTGTTGAGCTGCAGGTGGAGGCCGGTGAGAGCGGTGAGGTTGGCGAAGTCAGCCGGGAAGGGGCCAGAGAGGATGTTGGCCCGGAGGCTCAGGATCCGAAGAGCGGAGAGGCGGCTGAGGGTGTTGGGCGGGACAGGGCCCCTGAACCCGATACCCGGGAGGCGAACAGCGACGACGCGAGAGCCGTCGGCGCTGCAGGTGATGCCGGTCCAGAGGCCGCAGACGGTGGTGGCTCGGCTCCAATTGAGGCCGCGTCCGTGGGGGGCGGCGGCCAGGAAGTCGAGCAACGCTTGCTTGTCCTTCGCCAGGCTGCCGGCGCCGACTCCCGCGGAAGAAATCGCCAACCAGAGGGCAGAAATCGCCAACAACACTCGATTCAGACTCATTTCTTGCCGTAGATTCAGAAATCCACTCGACAGCACGACAAGAATCTCAAAACTTTGGCATTTTCCTCTTCAAGAACCCAACTTTGCCACTAAAGAAGCGCACAACATACAAAAGAAGCAAGCTTTAACTGTTCGACACAGTGTTTGACTCGAAGAACTTCAATCGGAGTGGAAGATCTGAGAATAAGGCAGGGAAGGGAAAGGAGAGGACGCGACGACCGTTAACAAACAGGGAAGAGACGAGAGGAGAGGAGAAGGCGTGGCGGAGACGGAAGGTGCCAAGTGCGTCTGCCTGGATTTTGCTTAAACGAAGGGCGTCCGAAGCGCTCGCCCACCGCGGCAGGTACCGAATGCAATCATTTCCTCACTCAACTGCAAGGCAGAAACGAAGGCAGAGAGGAGGACGCGAGCGTTAATGCCATTATTTCTCATAAAAGACGGGCCAAAGAAGAAATTTTGACGAGTCGCCGCCATGTGAGAGCAGAGCGAAACGCGGCAGAGAGAGGGGGAAGTGGGGCAAACCTCGGGGAAATTTCTCTGGAGATCCGCCATTGCCCTGCACAAGAAGAAGCAGCAGCAAATGGGAAGCCATCGGCTCTTCGTTCCTTTATCGACGTTACTATGGCGGTAAAGAAATAGACGGAAGGCGGAAGGAAACGCGGACCACTGCCGGGACGTCTCAGTTTAACATCTCTCTGTGGAGTCACGAGGGCAGGTAAACCGCTGAGTAACCATAGAAGGGTACAAGAAAAAAGTTGCTTTATTTCGGAATTCATATTACCTTTTTATTTATATACATTTAATTAAAATCAATATCCGTTCTTCATGATTAACATCACTAAATCAAACATTAATATATATATATATATGCTAATATTTATAGAAATCTTTGGATAGTCATTTCCAAAATGATTCAAGATCACATGAGAAGAAGGAAGAGGAATAAAATTGTTATTTCATATATATATGTAATTAGAGAAGAGAAGGGAAATAAAATGAGGGTAAATTGATGATCAGCTGATACTTAGGGTTCTTGAGATGGCGGTCTTTTAGGGTGTTTGGGATTTGAACATAGTTCAAAAAAAAGAAAGAAAAGAGGAAGAAAAAGCTGAGGAAAAAGAGAGGATGGAGGTGACTTTTGGCAGTGCAGGCTGTCCCATTTCTGAGCTTTCTTCTTCCTTCTCATGTATCAGAGAGAGAGAGAGAGAGATGAGAGAAGCAGAAGAAGAACAAAAAGAAAAGGGGAGAGAGAGATAGAGCGATGGTCCCCCAAACAGCATGCGGAGATCAGGAAATGAACACAGGAATACTGTTCCCTTATCATCACATACACTTGCCAGTACTTGATGTTCATGGTGATCCTGTCAGGTTAGTGTTGGTTTATCTTATCCTGTAAAATCCAGAGAATAAATGTTAACCAACGATTTGGTAATGATATGAGTTGATGCTATGGATTCTCTTTTATCTTGATTAAAGATTATAAATATATTACATCTTTTCCGAATAGTTTAAGTTTTTTTGATCATTCATATAATATTTGAGACATCCAATAGTTAATGATAGCAAACAAGATTTAGCCAAGAGAAAGTTTTACTCTTTTATTTAGAAAAATCAATATGTTGAAGTAATAAATATTATATTTAAATTAATATGTTATTTAATGTATTTATTTTTTATTCTCTTATAAAATTAAAAATAAATCGATGTTTTATTAAATTATTATATATTTGACTTTCGACATTCTAGTCAGTCAATACTTATTATATATGCTACATGTAATCCAATGATAACTCAATGACGTGATGTTCATTCACCTTTACCCACCATAGTATTTTCCTATTTAGCTCAATAGGTTTCGATATCATTCATCATGATATTTTAAAGTCCAAATTCTTTTTATAAAATAAATAAGTCATAATTAATAGAATGAAAATTTGGGATGTTCGACGGAAACGTTGCATGATATCATCGACGTCCGGTTTCCATCTCCGGTGGTCGGAAACAGAGGATCGGTCGGTGTGCCTCACAAACCAAAACAGTAGAACACACCGCTTCACCCACAACGTGCGTCGTTTCCTTGCCTCTCTCTCCTGTCTTCGTTCCCAACATCTGCCTCCCATTGTCACTGTACAACCGATAACACCATTGTCTCTTAGGGGCCACCTCCACGCACGCATAAGCCATGCTCTGCTCGTGAGCCCAGTCTCACGAGGACAACAGAGACCTTAATGCAGACAAGCTGGCATGGTGGCCTTGTTGCAGTCTCGGTAGGTTGGCTTGTGTGGTTGTCCAATGAGCCGAGATTGACTCAAACGGAGAGGGGATTGGAAAATGGGGGGCTTCAGCTTTCCCCTCACGCACTCACACACAACCACACACACACACACACACTCTCTCTCTTTCTCTTCTGCTGCGCATCATGGAGTAGATTCCTGCGTTGTGTCTTCTCTCCTCCCTCTCTGTCTCTCGCCATTCGATTTGTTTGGTCATCACATTATTATTACTAATCTGGTTTGAAGTTCACATTATTATTATTTTCAGCCACTACATAAATAGTAATTAATTCTGTGTGTTCTATTAATTTACACCATGACATCCAAAACATGTGGGAAGAAAGGGACGATAGAGACATGATGAGAGTACTGACCTCAAGCATATCTCAGGCTGACTTAAACCGAGGATTATTAATTCTAAACCCAATTCATGTTCATTCTTATATGTAGATGACACATTCAAGGTTAAATTTTAGTTTACCTGTAGCCACTGTGATTGATGGTATTGGTCCATTTGACTCCATTATTGCTATGCTCCGAACACATCCATTCGGAGGCTCATTGGTAGGACAGTCCCACGGCAGATGATGACTGCATCAAAGGAGGAGAAGTCAAAAACCCACACACACAATCCAACACCTCGTTGCATCATGTCAATGGTGTTGCACATGTTTGGGCATTGTATATATGCAAGCAGGGGAAGGTACAGTGAACAGTTGCATCCATGTCAGACTGCAGTCTCCGAAGGCAAGGGCTAGGAATAGAAGGTCGAAGAGCAGACCTGTCTGTCTACTGTAGAAGACTCCGCCACTGCTGGGATGCCCTGAGCTCTGTGAAAATGACCAGTCGACAGCATTCTTGATGGCAAGGATTTATTTTTGACCGTGAGGAGATGCCCGAGATGGACAAGTCGATTGTTAGTTTAACATAAGGAGAAGCTCCCAATTGGACCATACTCGATTGCTGTTGAATGAGAGGCTGACAGTGGACACAGCCAAATGCAGACAGATGCATTGATATGATGATCGTGAGTTTTCCTCCCATCTGTTCATCTACATATGCGTCAGCATATTGCAGAGAGCAAAACAAAAGAAAGGGGACGAGCACCATCGGATGGATGCTCGGATCCCAATAATACAAGTTGTTCACGAAGAATTATTACTCGGTGCATCACCATGAACCGGAGGGAGAGGGAACGATATCCGTACGGAAAGAAACAACGCAGGTGTGTTGTTGGCTTTGGCTGATGGGAATCCAGCAAGATGATAAATGGGTCATGTTGAGACATCAATCAAAGTGAAAGACCCTATGAATCACAGCTAATGAACAAAATAACCGCAGATGCCAATCAGAATGCTCTTTAAGTTGGGAGCAGAATTAGTGAGCATAAAATGTGTTCACCGTCGTGGCGTACATATCACCATGGATGGGTCACTCATCAAGCTTTTTGCAGCTGTCTGTAACCGCCGCAGTATCACACAGCACCGTATCATCAATTTCCAATAGCATTTTGGCAGGTGAGAAGACAACAAAATTACAACGTGGACACTTCCATGACATGTAAAATGTTGACTGGTAACACAGACGAACCAGTGTACTACTACTGCAGTGAAGGTGTTTGCGGCTGTTTGATGGTCAATTCAGCCCGCAAGTGAAGGGTGCCATTGATGAAGAAGAGGCTATCCTCGGCTATAAATGAAGTCCATGGTATGCCAAACAGGTTTCGGTAGCCCACCGCCTTCCCGCCTGTGAAAGTGTAGAAGCCTTTGTACTTGCTCACAAACTCTCCTGACGGCTTGGTTCTTGCAGCAAACTCGTACTCCACCGTAAAGCTGATCGAACCTTTCTCTTGCATCCCTAAGAAAAGGCCAAAGCAGTGGAATAAACTGTGTTGATCCAGGTTGCAGTGAGCCGAGAGGAAGAATCCCTGCCCGCCCAAGTGAAATGCCTGGGAGTAGACCCGGCCAGAAGGGAACAACTTGGCACACTCGTCCCTGGTCAGGTCCAGGTAGACGATGCATTGTGGGTGAGGCCTTTCAAATTCCACCACCTTCAGCGGACGGTATTTGTAAGCCCTCTCTGTAAACCGCTTGTGGCTCGACTCGTCGGCAGAAAGGGCACGCTGCCGGTGTGGGGCCTCTGCCTTGAAGAAGAGCGCATCAGTCACTAACTTGGAAGCAATCTCGTGGTCTAAATCATTGCATGTGAGAACTTTTCTAAGTTTCCTGCAAGTCATATGAGCAAAACGGATATGGCGGATAAGACGAGAACTCAATATCTCACGGCGTTCCTCCAACACTGGGTACTGAGCACGGGCCCACTTGAGCACAAAGTCGTAGATTGCATCTTCTGATGCCACTTGAAGGTCATCACTGGAGAGTATGGCCTCGATGCCAGAAAGAGGAAGGCCCAACATTTCATCTTGGAACCTGAAGCAAAAAATTTCCCAAAGTCTAATGTTAGAAAAATATGTAACAAGTATTAGATCATCACCTGCCAATGTCGACTCACTTGGTTATATCCCTGTAGCTATTGGCAAGGTAATCCTTAGCTGCATCGGTCAAAGGTTGGACTGCTGAGGCCATTGAAACACTACAAGGAAGATCCAGATAGAGTAGTGCAGATTCCGTAGTCATAGGCAAGCTTCTAAGCAACTGACTACAGTGCCGCATGCATGAAACAACCTCAAACTTATCAGCAGCCATCAGCACATCCAAAAGGAGAGATGGAGAGGTAGTTGACAACTTTCCGCTGTACATGAAACTTAGGAGCTCCATGAGAGCAGCTTCCTCTGTTAAAGGGGCAAAGAAAAGGAAATATATATATATGAAGTTGCTTGTCCTGCAAGGCATGCGAGCTGGGTTGATGAAGATACCTCCACAACCCTGGGGTGGTTGTTGCACCGGAACCCCTCTCTCAAAAGATGTATTTAAAAAACACAGTCAATGTGGAATGCAGAAACAAATTTTACCAATTAACAATATAGAAAACAATCATGTCCATAAGACGTATGTGAATAATACCGATCATATCGACAAGACATTGCTCACTAAAGAAAAATCATACCATAGTTCACATTATATTACCCAACTATGTTAATTATGTCAAATCCTGAAGACACTTTTATCTTAAAAAATAAAAACTAACTTTGAAGAAAGAAATACGAAAATTTTCAATGCTAAAATCTTAAGTACTAAATGATAAAAAAGACCAAGTGGAGGAGTTATATATTCTTTTCTATAGTCATAAACTGCAGATATGTTTGCACATAATAACACTTGGCAGTTAGCATGATCTGTTCCACAATTACCTGATTCGTTGATTCTTAAGGTTGCATGCCGCTGATCAGATTCTTTCATGCCATTCGAGAAAAGCTGATAATGAAAATACAAAAAGAAAAATAGGATTTAGTAACTGTCAGCAAAAAAAGAGCAAGCAAGATGGTAGGTGGTATTTCTAACCTTGAAGAAAAATGGGCTTTTCGCAGCCAGTATAGCAGAACTAATGTAAATGGATTTAACTCTGAGGACATGAGGAGAACCACCCACATTTGATGAATCATTTTCTGTATCAGCACCTGTAGATTAATAAGGACAATCCGATCACAAAATGGAAACAAATAGCATAACTATAACAATGGAAGATGCGAGTCTATCAAAAAAATGATTTATCAAGATTGGATTGAACATTAGCATGTATAAGACTTATTCAGGTCACCACTGTCATTTTCAACAAAAAAAAAAATCCAAAACAAGGATGATTCTTCAGGCTTCAGTCAATTATACAATGACAAATATATTGTTTACAGTAAAAAATTTCTTTAGTGGAACTTCCTATAAGAAGTAGACTGTTTCTTAAAATCTCTTGACCCATCTAGAATCATGGTATCAGCTAATCAGTTATATTACTACTTCAAGATAAAATATAATAAATTAATGGGAAGTTGCAAGCTATGAACATTCCAATTGATTGAGAGTTATTATAATTCAGTCCACAGCTCTGGGTACCATCATGTCAAAATTTCATCTGCGGGCAACAAGTTTTACAGTGTCAGAGATCAAGCACAGTTGAGGCAAGATAATGCTTTACCGTGCTACTCATTTCTGAAAATTATTTTCCGAAAGGCATAAATACAAACTTTGGTTTTCCACCAACCATAATTCGATGCTTGAAATGATCTGTTTTGGATCATCTTCAGCTAGGCATTTGCTTGGAAAGAAGAAGCCAAAACAGAAACCAGACTGAAAACACAATTGTGGCCCAGTCTCAACTAAAACACAGAGGTTCAGCCCATTAGGTCCAGAACTGGCCTAATAGTGGATTGGGACTGGTTACCAGTGAGAGGATATATGAGCAATCCCCTCGTACCCCTTTTTCATCCACTTCTTACTGTCTTAAGAAATCCTATAGACTAATTTATCAATTGAATTGAAATCAAGTAAAATCCTGAATCCCAAACAATTACAACTTTTATTTTATTAAATCTAGGCAATACTTAAATAGTTAATCATAAAGACAATTAAAGATGTATGTGATTTTGGGTTTGTATTTTGTTTTGACCAATGCCATTAGTTTCAAGTCAATTTATGCTTCTTTTTCTTCTTTTTTTCAGTGAATCTCTTTAGAATAAGTTTTAGCATGTGAATTAGCACATAGGCAAGTCTACATTCATTTAACAAACAAGTTTCCTCATCAATCAGAGCAATCTGAATCATCACATTACCATAGTTAGTAATGTAATACCCAATTTGATAAGTCTCACATCAAATTGACCTGGGGTTTCTCACCCCCCATCCTGTGAATACTCTCTTAGAGGCATAACCCATGTGTTTCTGGCTCAGGTAATGACAAATATACTAATTAAAGCCTAGCCCAGACTAATTAGATCAGGATATTACAGGTAAGAACAAAGGTAACATCAAAATGGGGCACTAAGAACTCTCTGGCCAATATTAACCTAGCAGGCAAATGAGTCGTGTTTCTGAATGATATCGAGCACGTTGAGAGCATGGAATAATTCTCCAAGATCATATAGGTGAACCAATTCTTGGTTGACTGTGACTGCGAGATAGGGGGCTGCTGACATCATCTAGACATTCATAATAAAATTGAGATATACAACATACATCTGGCTGTTTAATTTTATATTTTGTCTCAAATGGACATGTTTTGTTAATTTCTTGAATGTCTTTATCTCAGAGAGAAACATAACATCCCAGACAGAGTTACTATTCCGATCGACTCTCTCTTTTCAGTCTAGGAGATACTGAGCCAAGATAACAACCCCATGAAATAACCTGTAGGTGAAATGATCAAAGAGTTCCTTGCATAAATTTGCCTTAACTAGGAAAATAAGATAGGTTCTTATACATTTGGTAGGAAAGTTGTTCATACTATAATTATGCTCCACAAGGCCATTTTTGGATATATTGGTGTTCTTTAACCAATACATTATTGACAAAGAAAAAAATTGGTATACAGAAGGTCAGCACTTGATTTTCAAATCAGTTACACCAGCCACATGTTGACAGTCAACATTGACAGTAACATCTTGGAATATGACTCTCTAGTAAAGATGCTTGTACTTGCCTTTGTCATGTAAAATTCTCTGTGCATTTTTGTTTAGGTTATTGTTCAGGCATTTTTTACAACACAGGTACTTAACTATGGGTTTGAACCGTTTATTGGGCCAGGCACTAATAGCAAGCTCAGGATATTATATTTATAGTTGGAAAGAATGAAGAAAATCAGATTTTACAGGGGCAAGATCATATCTGCAACTATCAAAGATTGATCTATATCAAAATATTGCTTAATTTTCAAACTTCCCAAGTCTAAAAGACACTAAATCGCTGGCGAGAATGAAATATGTCAAACCAATAAATACAAAAGAAACCTTAGAGCATTGTGGCTGATACTCAACCAGAATGATTTATATGGTTGAATAATTGTGTTCAGGGACAATTTGGTAGGGTTATGTTAAAAATTTGGGTTGAAATATCTCAAACCTGACCCAAGGCTTGTTCAGGTTGCTGTTGAAACAAATGTTATCCAGAAACAGCTAATCCACCCAACCTAGACAGCAACAAATTTGAAATCACCTTGATTCAACATCCTACAATCTAGAGTGCATACATAGCCAGAGACCATGTTAAGCACATTTCATTTATTACAATTATGGCCCCATTTTTGCGGCTACATCTGTAGACCAATCTGACACATGGAAGAACAATCAAACCTGACTTTTGCCCACTCCAAAGTCAGATAAGTTAGGGATTAAAAATTACGACCCAAAGTTGGATTCAGTTAAGTTACAGTTGGATTGGGCTAGGTCTGTACTAAATACAATTCAAACTACCAAAGTTAATGCCACAGACAAGTATTATCAGAAAACTAAAACAAACATATCACGAAGCTGGGGAATAAGATTAGGTATCAACAGGAATCCACAGGAGAAACTTTAAGCTACAAAGATGCATTATTGCAGTAGTAATCTTAACTCCTAATAATAGGATGATATTAAAAAGAGTTAGAGATATCAGACATGTACCAGCTCGACCCACGCCTGGTGCTAATTCTTCAAGCATTGGTTCATCCTCTTCATCATGATTCTCATATTCCATACATTCCTCAGTGTCAGGTTCACAACTCGATATAAGCTCCAATGAGTATTTTGCAGATTCTGATGCTAATAGCCATAAAAAGGAATATAATTGTTGATCATGAGCAGCTACAAATTTCTTATCAAATGATAAATACATTATAGTCAGCAACACAATTCAACCAACAAAAGAAAATCCACAAACTTAAAAGTTAGAACTTTATGTTCCTCCATTGAAAAGAAAATGGTTAAGGCCCGTCATTCCAAGATTGTGCTAATCATGAATAGGCAAGGTGACCAAAAATATCAGGATGAACCATGTTAACATGGGAAAGTCGGCATGCCAGATGTGGTCTGAGCAGGCCATATAGAGTGTCATGGACTAACATGTTATGGCACACACGTAGAAGCATGAGATATTACGCAACCCTACGTTCATGGTATGACTGGAAATTTAGTCACTTTTAAGATTGTCCAAAAGAATGAGATCTTTGACCTAATTATTTGCAGTTAGCTATGAAGATCGTCACACACCATTTATCTCTTGAATCACCAAGTCGTTCGCTAGAAAAGGAATATAGTTGTTTTATCTCCTCCCAAGATTCTCTGCGGTCATCCTGTCCAATTGAGTTCCCTGTGACCTTAATTGACTTAAACCAAGTGGTTGATGATGAGTTGAAGAGAAGGAAACCAGGCGATGAGTAGAAGCATTTATGGATACAAAATAGGCATGAATCCTCCATGTAAAAAGCTAAAACTATCTAAAAATTAGTATCAGTAACCATTTACTAAGTTAGAACAGATCTAATCGACTCGATTTTGTACCCTGATGGGCAGAATGCTCTAGACCATGCAACATGTCACTGTCACCTAACCACTTGAAAGTGCTCTATGACCTCAGAATTTGGTTTAGGTAAGAAAGACCAACCTAAAACTAAAATGAAACCAACAATCAACAAAAGGAAACGGACTACCCTTACCACTCAGCTGTGCCAACAAGTCAAGGTTGACGACAGATATTGGTGCCTTGATTATCATACAAGAAAAGGATAAAACAAGTATATCATGCATAAAAGCAATAAATTTATGTCATTTCGACGTTTAACTATGGCCAAATTTCAATTCCCATCATTATTTTCCCGTGTGAGATAGTAAGAAGACTTTTTTGCAACAGAAGTTTGCATTAGTGGTAGTTCATGTTTAAGTTCTGCGGACAATCCATAGACTTCGCTAATGGGGGAGCAAAAGAACACCTAAAAACTGAAAGCCCTTTCATTTTCGTTCTCTATCAAAAGGCCAGGAATTTACCTAAACATATTGATTCAATTAGAAACAGATCGGGAGAATAAGAATCATGCGTCGATTGTTCAATAGAACCAAGAAAAGGAATCAACAAAACAAGGCAAGCAAGAAACGGAATCGGCCATTTAAGGTAACTAACAAAGAGACGCAGGGAACGGGTGCCTGGATTCGGGGAGGCGCTCTCGCTCACCTTTCTCCTTGGCGCCGTCATCCCTCCTCCGCTTACGGTACCCGGCCCACCCGGCATCCGCGCCGCCCTCGTCCGGCTCCGCCACGACCTCGATCCGGAGCACGCGGTCGGAGAAGTTGCTGGAGTTGAAGGCGAACTCGAAGTTCTGGTCGCCGCCGGTGATCGAGGGTCCGGGATCCATCGCCGCCGCCGCCGCCATCGTCGTCGTCGTCGTCGTCGTCGTGCTTCTCGAATCTCTCATCCCGCCCCCTCCCTCCCCCCTGACGCCCAAAGCCCAAGCCCTAAACCTAACCCTAATCCCAGCCCTAATCTGCTGCGCTCCCCCGTGAAAGAGCCGATGAGACGACGAGAGAGAACAAAGAGATGGCGGAGGGTTTCAGGTTTCAACGCCGACAGAAGCGATAGAAATCAAAAAGCAGAGAGAGAAAGAGACTCAGAACGAGAGAGATTTATACGAACTATAAAATATATAATAATAATAATAATTCGTACTTCAAATATAACAAATGTATTGTTATCACATTTATGTTATATTATATACATAGAATATATAGATTATAGATAACATAACAGGTGGTATTTCTTTTACTTTTTGGCCCGCCGACGTTTACCCGACCAGCTTACCTACTCGTGATCAGAGAGAGAGAGAGAGATGGGACCCGCAAGAGCCTTAGACTTATGACTTGCGTCGGTGTAGTACAAACGTATATTTTTGCAGTCAATTTCGACTTCTACTTGATTGACCCCTGTGAGATGCATGCAAAGGGTGAAGACAGAAAATATTATTCATGTCTCCTATTTCCTCAGTCTAGTTTAGTTTAATCTCGTTAATTTTTATACGTAGAGGATAAATGTCTTCTTGATGAACTTCAAATAGACATCAAGAATTCAAACATGTAATTCATAATTTCTAAAGAAAAAGAAAAAATAAATTTAATTGTGATGTAAATGTAGAATGTTTATAATTGAAAATTCAAAACTTTATCTAATAAATATTAGCATGTAAAATTATTGGTAAAATAGTGATGATCGGATAAGATGTCAACTAATATTTATATTTTTCATAAAGGGAAAAAAGATTATTTGCATGAGTGGGTGATTAGGATAAAAAAGGGAAAATGCAATTGGACGCAAGGAGTCAAGTCAAGCTAATTAGAAAACAAGTCAAACGAAATCAAGCTTTGGTGATGAAAAGCCATGTCATGGGATGGAAGTCCATCGCATCTTCCACCAATCTTTATCTTGGAAGAAGCAAAATCGGCATGTATTATGCAAGTCAAACAAAACCTTTTCGTTCGATGGACGGTGTCAAACATCGATGGCAGCTCCACATAGTTACGTCGTTCACGATTGTTTGATTTGGGAAAAGAAAGAGTTTTTTGCGATCGCACGAGATAAATCTTCATGAACAAAGAAATAAATATAATTAATGCATTATCTTGCACAAATAATCTGCGATTTACCTATAAAATCTATGAAATGATCGCGGGAAATTGCGGTTCTGTAATTTGCAATAAGATTTAGAACAGATCTTTGAACGAAAAAAGTCAAAATTGGAGATTGTTTTGGTCCTAATTTTACATCCCAATCGTCCATATGCAATTAATTGCGAGTTGTTTGTTTTAAGGAAGAGTTGAGATATGAGAAATGTATTGGTTGTAAGGTATTATTATTATATACAGATCATGTGGTGGAATGAGTTTGCCGGCTGCTAATGACCGGTTCGACTTGATGATGACGTACCACGTTTGAATGTCTTCATGGCTTCTTGTGGTCATGGAAATTCCACTGTGGATTCAACTGATGGGCATCCAACTTTGAATTCATGATGTTGTTGCATCCAAGACTGTGTCGTAGGTCTAACAAGGTGGGAAATCAATGCTCATATGGAATTCGTATTCCATATGCAAATGAGAGGGTGTCATATAGATAGATACATTCGAAATCGTTCATCCCATTTCTTGTCTGTGGAGGTTACTGTTTCATTGGATGCATGTAATGTGGTCGTATCGATCTGTGCTCGATCAATATCATGCTTACTTTTCTCCGGAGAAGGAGAAGCGCCTGCAGTTTTTTGGACACGAATCATGAAAGAATATAAATCACTGTAGGAGAACAAATAAGAAATATATCTTCTTTTGGTGACGCATACACTTCGAATCATAGATATTGTCTACATGACGCACAAAAGAGATCATCAATCTCCGTGTTGAATAGTTCTTGATGCAGTTGAAACTGCGGCCAAGAAATGGGTGAAGCTAATCTTGTCTACTATACAGGATCTGTTCTGATGAGTCGAGCAGGAAACACTGCAGCAAATTCGCAATGGTTAGTGCAGTCGTAATGAGCATTAAAGTCTCCTTTGATCTCTGAAAGTTCCAAACAGTATCAGCTAAAACCTCTACACGGATGTTTGCATCATTTATAGGACACAACGTTCCACCGTTCGTCTGTGTTTGATTTCTACCTCATCAGTTATTCGAGCAAGCTACAAACTCTATGTTTCTTCAGATCTCTATCCCAACAATCTGCATGAAACATGTGATGTTCTGCGTGTGTGAGATAATTAGTGCCGAAGGAAATCAACATAAATGAACTCCGTCTACAACTGATCTACATAGAGAGAGAGAGAGATAGAGAGAGAGAGAGAGAGAGAGAGAGAGAGAGAGAGAGAG